TCAGGTTAGGTTATTTTGTATATTTAACTTTACCAAAAGCCGATTGCGGTTTATTAGTATAAGCGATGTATATAATACATTTATAGTAAAATAATTTGTTTGAAAATAGAAACGTTTTCAAAAAGAAAAAAACTTAGAAAATTAAAAAAAAAAAAATTATTCCAAGAGAAAACCAGCTAAAACAATCACCCTGTATACAAAAATTGCGCATTGTAGATCATCATATATTATATTATATTTTTAATCCTATTCTAGAAAGAGAGCACCGTTATCGCGCAACGCAAGGCACGGCAAAGCAATACGTTGTCGACGGCTCTTTTGTTTCTCGAGACGATTTCTCGACGACCGCGTCCGAGCGATACCGTCGCGGCGGTTTTTCGTTTTACCATACACATAGTATATACATATATACATACATACATAATAAATAAAATATAATAAATCGCGCTCAACAAGTGGTCGTGATGAACCGGCGGGACGGACACACGTGGTGGCACGCACGCCGGACCGGCGCGCACTCGTCCCGGCGGCACACGTGCACCGCGTGCAACCCGCGGTCCCCTCCCCCCCCCTCGAGGGCATCGCGCCGCCCGGTGGCACGTTTTGTGTCCGTTTTCGGTTAAACAATGTGATGCCCGGTGCTCGAGTCGATTATTGTTATTGTTATTGCTATTGTTGTTGTTGTTGTACGGCATAGATAGGTACTACATCGCCCATCATCATATTATCAGCTTTTTTATTTTACAAGTAAAAATTGAAAAATCACTTTGTCATTTATCATCGTACCTCTCTCTATCCGCGCGCGTCTTATCTCTCCGCCCAAAACAATCGACAACAATAGGTGTCGATTGTCGTCGAACGAGATGACCGAAACGACCATTAGCCGTGTACAAATTACACACCTCTCTATAATCGCCGTGGGAGACCGATACGGGACAACAGCGCCTACATTCGTGTAATAAATAACGCTGTAAATTATTATTATTATTATGACAAATTATAATATAGTGCTTGCGTTTGACGCGCGCGCGATTAGGTATCTGTCGTCGGCCGCCGCCGCCGCCGATAGGTAGGTAGGCGCGGGTATACGTATGGGTACCACCCCGCCGGTAGGCAGTAGGCGTTTAATCGACCGCGTCGACGGCCGGCCGTCGTGTACACAATACACATACGACGACGATGATAATTATGCGGCGGCCGTGTAAAGGATAATTTTGCGCTGCCTATCGTCACGACCGTCACGCGAGCACACGCACCGTCCGACAGTATTCGGTATAGTAATAATATGTACTCACGCCCGCGCGCCGGTTACACGGGCACATTTGTCTCGTTACGTAACGCGACAACGACGGCCGCCCTCGCGACGAACAGCGGTCCTTTGAGTTGGGTAAAGGCGATTTTTTATTTATTTTTTTTTTCTTCAAAATATCGACCTAATATGTAGTTATTAGGACCTAGTTTAGTCGTTTAGTCAAGTTGTTTTTTAGGACTAATTAGGTTTGGTTAGGTTAGGTTAGGTTTGGTTAGGTTTGGTTAGGTTTGGTTAGGTTAGGTCAGGTTAGGTTAGGTTAGGTCAGGTTAGGTCAGGTTAGGTTTGAGAGATCTGAGTTTTGGATGAAATGTCTGAGAAAAAACGGCTGTCTCGGCTTTCTTGCCGATTACAGATCTTGCTGGCTATTGTCTGGCGGGAGTGTTACTAGGTTATGTCGTCTGTGAAAGTATAACTTGATCGATTAAAACAAAATCCAAGATTGCTTAAAAAATTATTTTCTTTTACCTTTTTTTAAACGAAAAAAAAAAGCTTATAATTGCGATATTTAAAATAAACCGGTCGAGACGACACGGATAAAGTTTTTAACTTTCAGGTGATATATATATATATGTAACTTAACCGTAAGTCGATTTTTGCCAGAGCCGTATCGAGAAAGCCAACTCACGTTCCACGTGTATATTTTACTACATTTTTCAACACTTTCACTTCAACTAAATTGTTATTTTCATCCCTTATGCGTAAGAGAAGTGTACAGTCGGTTTTTTCAATATGTTTTTAATTCCATAAAAGTAAACAAACATTTTTAATACATTTTAGCGTTTGAAATTTTATTTTTTCTCATTCCGTTCATTTGCTATGCCTTTGGTAATGATATTACATTTCTTCCTATTTCTTAGGTTGGCAAAAAAAAATAAAACCGTAGCCGTCACCGTGTAATATTATCTCAACACGTTTCATTGGACAATGGGAACATAAATATGGATTTTATGGGCTACTGTTTTTTTCGGACTACTCAATAAATATGTGTATTATTATGTTTACAAAGTTATAGCGAAACGAACAGAACCGTGTAAATGCTTGCAACGAGAACAACTGAAAAAATTACAATTATTTTTTAAAAAAACTATGACGTTTCCTAATAATATCCTTATTGTGAATTTCAATTTTAACTATCACAAAATGTTTCACCGCAATTATAGCATAATAAATTTCAGCGAGACACATTTTTTTCGAGCCACTCTGTTAATGTTTCTTATGTGTATGTGTACCAATAATGTGGTTGTCAATAAAATTGTACCTATACCCGTCGTCTTGACTCTCATATTGACTCTACTGCGCAGACAACAACAACAGCAGCTATGTATATGCTCGTCTTGCGTTTAATTAGACCACCTACGCGGGCTCGTTAAATCGTCAATTAAACCGACTAATGAATAGAAAAAAAATCTCTCGACTATAAAAGTTGGATTTTTTTTTTCCAAATCTAATTTAATAGTTTTTTAGTTCAATACGTCTTGTGTTGAGAGTTTAAGCGCATAATATTATTACGTTGTTATCCGATTGAAAACGTCGGTAACAAAGCAGACACACAGATGCAAGATTTGATAACTGATTTATATATATTATAATATACGTATCAGTTGAAAATTAAACCTTTTGATAAGATGTAACACACACACACACACACAAACTCAGGGAGACTTTTTTCAAACTCAAGTCGTGGCTTGTATTAAACTTTAATCGGCTTGCTGCGCGTTAAAAATGAGAAGGTAGATTTTTCGGAGAAATATTTTTAATTTTATTTGTAAAAAATATGTTTATGTAGGTACACGTGTTTAATTTTTTAGCTCATTAGTGAATGAACTGTATCAGACAGGGTTTTGGTCAGATTAGGTTAGGTTGGGGAATGAAAAATGTGGCTTTAGTTGATAATTTTTTGTTTGACTGTAAAAAACCTAAATAATTTTCTAAATTAATAGTTTGTATCCTCTTTCTTATTGCCTCTTATTATGAGTACTTTTCATCACTTATAGTTTAAGAGAAAATCAAGCGTTATAAGTAGTGTTTGAACATTTCATGAAATATAAAATTATTATTATTTTTGTTTTTTCGTCTTGTAAAACATATTAAAATATATTTCACTGACGTACATTTTTTTCTCATTTTTAATTTATGATATGTCATGTTATATACAACATTTTATAATAATTTTAGAAATAATGAACATATTTCTTTCGCTATAAAATTTTGTTTTTTATTACAATCAGTCAAAATGTTTTGACGAGTGGCATTTTTTTTTACTGCACTTCAGTTGCAATAACAGCACGATTTTTTTTCAGTTTTATTATTTTTTGTTTCTTTTAAATTTCGAAACACTTTACACTATACTTAATCGAATGTAAAAGTTAATGTGGCATAGTGATTTCACGTTGAAAATTGATATTATCTATTGTTATCTAATTTTTGATATTTATTTCAACTCAACTCAATAAAGGTAACATAGCATAAACAATGGGTAGGTATCATAAATAGTTAGCGATTGATTAATATAATACAAACGGGTTGATTACCCCTCTCTTTAACTCTCTTTGAGCAAGCTTGTGTAATTATCTCCTAAATTAACAGGCAGTAGGACCAAATACAAATCCATTATTTCACAACATTCTGAAATATTTCATACTTCAAACAGTGGTTATAAGACAAGACATTCGTAACACTCTTGCTTTTTTTTCAAATTCAAATCATTATACATGGGTATATACAGGGTATGAAATCCCCATCACCTGTTTACAGTATAATAATATTATTATGTTATATTAAAGCCAAGACAAATCCATCTATCGTCTCACCGTAAGCACCGTGTGGGTGTCCTATTCGCAACCGGCAAAAGGTGAAAATTATTTTATACAAAAGGAGTCGGAGATGGAGATAGGTTAGGTTAGGTTAGGTTAGGTTAGGTTTAGTTAGGTTAGGTTTGGTTAGGTTAGGTTAGGTTAGGTTAGGTTAGGTTAGGTTACTAGTCGGAGAAGGAGATGGGCTTGCGTACGAGTCCGCGACCACTGGAGACGTTTTCACGTGTGATATAAATATAAAGATATATAGGGATATATAAGGATATATAAGGCTGTATAGGGATGTAGAAAGGATGTATAAGTATATAAGGTTGTATAAATATATGTATAAGGATATAGTGGGATATTAGGATATATATAAGGATATATTTTCGCTGGGTTTTTTTTGGTAACGCTGTATGGTAACTGTCCGGTTTGTGTGCCAAAGAAAAGACATAAAAATGTCAAAATAATTAACAAAAAAAAAAAATTGAACAATTCAATCGCATTCTGTACATTATAAATATGCATAACAATATTATGTGTGTTCTATCTTTTTTTTTTATGTATACAACACCTACTTGTCGTTAATAATATAAAAAACTTGTGCGTTTTTTTTTTTTTTTTTTGGTTTTCCCCACCACATGCAGGACGCCAGCGCGCTGGGCTTCTTCGAGCTGCAGATACTGGAAATCGAGAACTACCGCGGCCAGCTGGCCACCGGCGAGTGTTGCGGCAGCGGCGGCGCGCCGTCCCGGCCGGCCACCAACTGCATCGGCGCCGCCCAGTGCAACACGCTGTTCAGGGTGTGCTTGCGCGAATACCAAAACCGCCAGCCGCCGCCGCCGTCGTCCGGGTCGGCGGCCGCGCAACCGTCGGCCGCCGCCGCCTCAGCCGCAGCCTCAGCCGCAGCCGCCGCCGCCACCGCGGTCGTCGTGGCCGCCAACGCCCCCGCCGGTGCGGCCGCTCAGCTGCACTGCTCGTTCGGCAACACGTCCAGCCCCGTGTTGGGCGGCAACTCGTTCACGCTCACGGACTCCGATTCGTCCGACAGCCGGGGACAGCTGTCGTTGCCGTTTTCCTTTAGCTGGACGGTGAGTAAACAATAAACAACATTACATAATCGTGATTAAGTCCATATAATATATTATACATTATAATTAATTACAATAATAATAATAGTTAATTAGTTACCACCGGCCGGTAGTAACAAACAACGACGACGACGACGACGACGACAAAAGCGACCGGACCGGATAATGGTTTTTCAACCACACGCGCGTTGAGTCGGCCCAAGGTCGGTGCCGACCGGGTAAACCGCCTTTTCCAATTAAAATTAAATGAAACAAACGAATAATATATATATATTATTATCATTTTGTTTCCCCAACGAGGTCCACCGCCACATTGCGGACTGTAGATGGATGATATTTATTTAGTTATCGTGTCAACGTTTTATTATAGCAAAAAAAAAACAAGCCAGTTAGGTTAACTGTAACTGAAAGTGAAAAGCCAGTCCGCTAACGGCTGTAAGTGATATCTCAATTTAAATCTTAAATTGTAATTTGTAATTATTAGATTAGTAATAAGAATTATTTTTAGGCAGTTAATTTAGTTTTTCGACTATCGCAGTATCTTTGTCATCGATTTTAATTATTTTTTTTCATCTAAACATAGTTTTCTAATTCCAAAAACATGGCTTACTGGGTGGTTTTAGAGTAAAAAACTCATTTAAATTTATAATAAATGTTCTAGGTGAGAACTTTTTCTATGTTTTGTTGGAAACCAATTTTCGATAGTTGGTTTGGATGTGGAACAATATGGCATAAAGAAAGGGAATATTTTTAATTATTTAAATGTATTTATCTTAAAATTTAAATCGAATTCCAACAAAGCATAGTTAAAGTTCTCATCTTTCAAACAATTTATAATTTATATCCCTGCGTGCATTGTAGACTTCATACCATTGGAAACACAAAAGTACTATTTTGGTGCTATTATTTCGAGGTGCGACGTCCCCTTAACGCTATATCTATAACAGCATAAATATCTTGTAAGTTTTATGAATTAGTTTCAGTATTTTTACTGTATAATAAAAAAAAATCCTTTTGTAGGTAGAATAAAAATACCACTTTTGAAGCACAATTTTGCGCCCCTGGCGTAGGCACAGTTCGCCATACCCTTGCTACGCCACTGATTATAGCTGTAAGTGACGTTGTAACTGAAAGTGAAAAGCCAGTACACTAACTGTAAGTGACGTTATTACAACTGAAAGTGTTGAAATCACTTTCAAATAGAACGGTTCGCCGCGAATCTGCCGTTAGGTTAGGTTTAAAGCACAGTAACAGTAAGAATAATTCTACATAAGTGTGTACTGAGTAGTAGTAACACAAGGGGGCTTGGGATTTTGGAAAAAAACCTTAAAACTTCAAATTAGCGCTACGTTTATTTGTACTTCGACAAGTCTCCCGGTGAAAAATAACAATATAGGTATTTCGAAAAGCGCCAATTTTAAGTTTTAAGGTTTTTAGTATACCAAGCTCGTCCCCCTCCCCCCCCACAACCATCTACCCATGAGTAGTAAGTGAGTATCAGTGCGTTTACAGATAAAAATACAAATATCGATAAAAGCGTTGTGTCTAATGACAATAATTATGTGCTCGAAAATTAATTTTTCATTGTAGACACGATTAGGGTTGATGTATTGCCATATCTGATATCTGATCACCCGGTACACCCTCAACTATCCAATTGGCGCTCTCGATTTCAAAAGGCCTATTTCCATCACAACTACTACATTTGGCAGTTGACCCATAAAATTAGTTGAAAGTAACCTATATTTATCAATTTCGAATTTCAAGTCCAATTTCAAATTTCTAAACCGCAAAGCTCAGAAAGCGTATTAGAAAACAATTGTGGTTTTTATCTATGAAATGTATACAATATATACACAACTCTTCCTTCCTATAACTAGCGATCGTTCGACATTCCACCGCTCTGTACAATAAGGAGGACATTATATAGTTATTGTTTGCCCATAAACCGGGCAACAGCTTCGCTTATAATAATAAAAAAATACTAACGATATTATCTATAGTAATATCGTCATTAGGGATAGCCAACAACAATTAGCGTTAATAGTGTTTGATCGAGATAAGATTTCCAATTGTAATTTTGCTCGCTCTGGCCGACGGCGGTGGGCATAATTTGTTTTCTGTACTTGCTCTCCGTGCTTGGAACTGTACACTATATATTAAAATCGGCGTTGGTGGTATTTTTTTTTTTTGAAAATATTTTTGTATTCGTTTAACGTGTTACAATATTATAATTCGGTAATCGTGCGCGGTCAAACATAAAACAAACCGCGCCGATGATTTAGTAAGAGCTGTTGCTGCTGCTGCTGCTGCTGATGCCGTCGCCGTTGTTGTGGTTGTGTGTTTATAAAAAAATTAAATATAATATAATATAATATATAAAAAAGAACCGACCCGAGCTATCGTCGCCGGCAAGTCAGCAGATTTTTAAAAAACCCGTTTCATTCCGGGAATACATATTTAAATGCCTCTTTCTCCTCGTTCCGTACACGTTTCAAATGGAAGTGTATGTTAAAACGGATAATAATATTAAATTAATAATATTATAATACTACTATAAAATAATCGATACATATAATAAAAAAAAAAAACAACGCGCCGAAGCTAAAAACCGCGCGTTGGTCGGCAGAGTTGCCATTTACATATTTTATTGACATGATAATAATAATAATAACAACATAAGTGCGACCCTTGGCCGGATATTATCTATATATATAATATATGTGTGTCGTTTATTGTGAATTATCTCCTTGTAATTGAATTTTTTGAATAACGGTGGGTTTTTTTTTTGTTCACTAAATATGACTCAGTCAAGCAAAAATCAACTCAACTCAAAAGAGGTATAGTCAGAGCCAGAGGCTGTAAATGATGTGACTTTTCTTTTCAGGCTGACATTCTTGCTTGGTCACAGCATTTGTACATTGATGTGAACCTCACCCCCTTTTTCTTTTTTTGAGGAAAAGCTCACCAAAGTCGTTATTTTTGGACTTGCACACGTTGAGACCTAACCGGAAAGCTTTTTTTTTTTTGGGGGGGGGGAGCGGTCGCCCTAGACGTCCGGGCTGGCCTATTGACACTGCGCCGAACATCCTGTATATGTACGTACACGCGGACGATTGTGTGTTGTCTTTCATGTTTTTCCAGTTCGGTCCACTTAATAGAATATTATTTTTTATTATCCCGGGCACGACCGTGATCGTGTGTGCCTTCCATAATGTGTTGTTATATAACCCACATGGCCCCGTCTTTATCTTAATTAATTAGACCTCTCTCTGTCCCACTATACGATACGCCGGATTTAAATGGAAAAAAAAAAAAATAAAAAATAATACCCTTCGAATTTTCTTATCCTTTGACGTGTACCTACTTTATATATTTATTCTTTATCTATTTTTTTTTATTTTTTGTCCATTAATATAGTTAAACAGTCACGACTCTCGCGGTGGCGGCCCGTGTAATCTGTGTACCACGATTTCCACGTTGACCGGGGCTCTCCGGTATCAATCGACAACCATCTGACTTAACTCTCCTATAGTGTATACCTGTACAAGGACGCAACGACAGTATTAATAACCGACCAATCTCTTTTTTTGGTAGGTGTGGGGGGGGGGGGGGGGGGTCGTTAGCCGTGTGTGCACTAGAGATTATCAATAATAATAATAATAATAATATTGTCTTAGAAGTTAATCGATTGACGCATCGCTTACACGTCTTATAGAGAGATACACATATAGATAGTATAACATGTACACCTACCTATAGGGTTAGTAACGGCCAAGGTGATATATTATCGACGGATTTGAATAATTTTTCGATTCCTTCCACCCTCCCCCCCCGCCCTCCTATCTCGCTACAGGAACACACAAACATACCTACCACAACAATGGTCGAACCGGTGACAACAATTTATACCGATTCGATTATATATATATATATATATATATATATATATATATTAGGTGTATGTTCTTTTTTTATCCGTTTCATTTCAGTATTTATAGTGGATTCGTTTTTTTTTTTTTTATTATTATTACCTATTTTGTTTTTTACCTCTACCTATACTCGTTTATATAAATTCATATATATATATATATATATATGTGTATCGGATTTTCGTTAATTGGCTCGGATCTCACAGACACTTGGCGGCGGCAACCGGTCTGTCTCGTCTTCCACAACCGCATAAGTTTTATACTTATACCTACACACACACACACACACGCTTATATGTAGCTAATATTATACTATATACCAACACATACCTCTTACATATATTCTATATATTATGTATGGTGTAAGGCCGCCGTGTGTGTCCGTCTGTCCGTCCCCCGGTTAATCTACCACACGGGGTTGACCGCCCTTAATTAAAAACCATTCGAGGGTATAGGTGTAGGTTTTGGACACCTGCACGCACGATATATTAGATATATTATGATGATATTGTGTTTCCGGTTAAAAATTAAAAAAAGACAATAATCTTAAGAGGGAGCTTTTACATATTATTATATGGTATACCTCTACCCGTCGCGCAGCCGGTCAAAATAATTTCGTTTTGGTGTCCAATCTATTATAATAACAGTATTATCTAGAATATTCATTTCCATTGTCCGTTGTATACTTAAAGCACAGCTATATACTTGTATAATAAACTAGATTCGCCGAGTGTACCATTTTCCGCCATCTTTGTGGGAATATAAACCTTATCACATGTTTACAGCTGTTATCACTGCTTACAGTGATAGATATAATGGCGTGTATAATTTGTAGATACTTTGTTGTAATAATTGTATTTGTTATCACACTCTTATAAACCACATAACAATTAGCCATTAACAAATTTAAAAGTTATAACTTATTTAAACAAATATATATATTATAAAATACAAACCGTAATATCAACACACTGAACTGATAGTATTAAATATATAAGAAAAAGTAAGGTTAGGATAGGTTAGGTTACCCTTCTGCTTTTATCTATTCTGTGATGTCGTCACCGTCGA